CCCCCCCCTTCTCTCTCTCTCTCTCTCTCTCTCTCTCTCTCTCTCTCTCTCTCTCGCTATTGCTCTCTCTTTCTTCTTTCACTTTTTTTTGAGACAGTGTCTCCCTGTAGCTCCAGCTGGAACTCACTATGTAGACCAAGCTGACCTTGATCTCATAGAAATTTACCTGCCTCTGCCTTCCGAGTGTTGAGACTAGAGGCCTGTGCCACAACACCCAGCTTAAGAAACAGGATTTTGATAGAAGAAAAGACAAAAGATTAAACAGTGCACACAGGTGTTGCTGTACAGCCTTTGGCTTATAGGAAAGATGTGGCAATTTTGAGAAATAAATTAAGAAAGGTGTTTTGGGATCAAGAGTGCTAACTTTGAAATTTAAGTTTAGAAGTGTGCATTTCATTAGTGGCTAAATAAAACTTTTATGGGTGTAGAGAATTATAACTGAAAACCATACATTTTCTGCAAACTAACTTAAAATTAGCTTTGTATTACATGGTATACACACATACACACATACACACATACACACACACACACACACACACACACATACACATATATATATATATGTGTGTGTGAATTAACCCCATGGTAAAAACCGTGTAAAAAAGTCTGATGAAGGTCTAAGTTTTTGCATGACAACCACATCAGTGCTTTTAAACAATACTCCCTGTGAAGTTATTTCAAGGGCATGTTTCTACTTCTCTTTTGGTGCCCTGGCCATGTTGTCTTCTAAAGCATGGGCTCAATTAACTACTGCTAGTGTGGCTTTGCGCTCAAGACTGGGATAGTATGAGTATACTGCAGAATAGTTGAGCTGGAGAAAGGATGTGACAAGGCTGGCTTCAGGACGGCGCCTCTGGCAGCAAGGTGTGTGATCATCTGGGATGCAGAGAGAGTTGCAGGTAGGAAGTGAAGTCATCTCTGGAAATCAAGAAAAGAGTTACTGAGCCTGCCCCAGGGTGACAGGAAGTAAGAATGAGCAGTGAGTAAATACATGGTGTACAGAGAAAGAATCCAGGGACTGGCAAGTAACCCAGAGGCAGAGAAGGTGGGCAAGGGGAATGCACAGACAGGATGATGATGATGATGATGATGATGTCGTGGAGGTTTGATGATTTCTTGATGGTGTGATGATAAGAAAGGTAACTCGAAGGAAGATGCAGCAAAACTTGAGAAATGGTTGGGATTTTTGGCCCCAAACCTGGAACATACAGGTCAAGGTGTCCAGCAGGGCTCTCTGAATGTGAATGCATTTGGATCTCATCAGAGACTTCAGGGTGGATCTGCAGACCTGGTGAATCATTCCAGCCCAAAGGAGGCAGCAGACCCACCTAAGGTCATGGTGAAGTGTCCTGGAGAAGGGAAAGCAGGAGGAAACCAGGATGGGTAAATAGACAGAGGACAGGTAGAGCGCAAAAGAAGGGGACGAACTACCACATATTGGGAGCCAAGGCAGGGATTTGAAAAAGATAGAATTTAGGGCTGCAGTATTGTGCTGGGTGGAAGCAGTTATTACTCAGGAAAGACACTGAATTTGGGGGTGATTTCAGCAGCCTGACTGGGGGAAAAGTCAGATTTCAAGTTAATTGGCAGCTTATTAAGAAAATGAAAATAATCTAACAAAGAATCAGGATGGGGAGGCCTCAAAGTAGGGAAAGAGCAGCAGCTTTCTCCACTGCCCAGTGTCCCAGAATTTAGATACAACAGAAAAATGCTTTAAAATCATGGGATGATTCAATCCTAGAAGAAAATAAATCTGCATTAAAGTCACAAGGGGGGTGGGGAGTGGAGAGATGGTTTGGCAGTTAAGAATACTTGATCTTTCAGATGACCCAGGTTTGATTCCCAGCACCCACATGGCAACTAAAATTCCAGCTCCAGAGGATCTGACACCCTCTTCTGGCTTCTGCAGGCATTGCATGACACAGGTGCACTTACATTCAAGCAAAACACTCACACATAAAAACAAAATAAAATAAAATCACACTCTGTCAAAGTGCAGAGAGTATCAGTCATATATAAGACATTTATATGAGAGACAGAGGAAGAGTGAGAGAGAGAAGAGAGAGAGGGGCGAAAGAGAGAGAGTGGGGGGTGGCTCAGGGACCAGCTCAGAAGAGGCAGAAAGATTCTAAGAGCCAGGTCAGGGACTACTTGAGTGAGATAGTGTCTTATGGACAAGACAGGAACCCTGCACTCATTAACTCACAGCAGCTGAGGTTGCCTGCACAAGACCTGCAAAACCAGTCAGCATTCTAGCATGGAGGGGGTAGGGACTCATGAGCTCCCACTCCTAACTGAAGAGCTATTGATAATTGTTGGTTTCTGAGGAAGGGAGAACCAGTTTTTTTTTTTTTAAAGGTGTGGTACCATATTCAGGAGTATATATATATATATATGGGCAGCACAAATTGGACCCAATGAGTTATTTGAAAAAAGAGGATGTGAAATTTGGGGGCAGATGGGAAGGTGGGGGTGGACCTGGGAGGAATAAGGGGGTGCATATGATCAAAACAAATTGTTTGAAATTCTCAAAGAATTAATAAAAATATTGTTTAAAGTCTACAGAAGGAAACAACTCTGATGGCCAATTCCTACACCTGTGCACAACACATAATCTGTAAGGACTCTGTGTGACTTCTTAGCCATCGCCAAACCCTTCTAAGGTTGTTGACGAAGAATCCAGTTACAGGGACTGGGTAGGTACGCGCTGCAAGTTCCTTTGCACCAGGGCCCAGGGGCAGCCTCTGGCAGGGCCTGGCACTGGTCACACCCCTTCCTTCTTCCGGGTTGGTGGTCTGGTAAGTGAGGCTCCCCTTACCTGCTGACTGCTTGTCAGGGCAGTTTCTAATGTCCTCAGGAACCATGCGCTTGGAAAGGTGGGCAGGGAGGAGTTGCGTGGTTCCCTAGCCATCAGGAAAGTGAGGGCGGCCAGAGGCATCAATGGTCCATTGGACTCAGCCAGGGGCTCATTGTTCCGTTACCAAGTTCCAGCTGACTAAAAGCCAATCCAAACCAGGGAAGATTTGAAGCCAAGCCCTGACTTCTGTGACGTTTGCATGGGTAGCATCACCACGCACCCTCATTGACAGCCCCCCCCCACCCCGGAAATGAGCGGGCCACATTCAGGGACCAGTAGTCCCTGGCCTGAGGGTCTGAGCAGCAGACATCCAGAAATCACTTCACAGAACCAACATAGGAATATCAGAAGGCTTGTTTGTGGAAATTAGGTATGCCTGTCGATCTGTGGACACGTGTAGAAGGGAACAGAGAAGTGACTGTGTGGAGTCATGGTGCAACTTGACACAAATGAAAAAATGCCATGATCCCATTTCTCTATGAAATTTAACACTTTAGGGCTGGAGAAATGGCTCAGCTGTCAAGAACACTGACTACTCTTACAGAGGACCTAGGTTCATTCTCTGCACTCACATGACCACTGACAATCGTCCTAATTTCAATTCCAGGGGATCTGACACCCTCTTCTGACCTCTGTGGGCATTGCATTACACGGGTACACTTACATACATGTAGGAAAAACATACAAATAAAATTAAAAATTAATAAATAAAATATCTTAAAAATTGAACACTTTATTCATGCTGGATTTTGTGTATGTGCAAAGTTTGATTTGAAAATATAGGATTGATATTTTTATTTTAAATGCTTCGTTTTTGGTGTCCCAAATATTTCAGGTCTCATCATACACCTAGACCTGGGATGGAGATGGAGGTGGCAGTGTAGAGGCTCCCCAAGATCCCAAACACACAGGAAAATGGAACTCAACAAGTATACAAGTCCTTCCTCTGGCTGGAAACATAAATTAAGCCACTATTTAGCAAATCTTCTTGAATACTTTTGTTTTTGTTTAAGATTGCTATGCCCACTGCCTGCTTTGGAACCTGTAGCATTGATGGCTCTATAATCTCATTTGTGTGAGTCTGAGTCCACTCATGCTTGGGGCACATGGGTAACTTTGGAAGCAGGATCCAATTTGTGACATCTCTATCTTCCACCAGGACTTAACATATTATAGTTAATAAATGTTGATGGAACAGGATGAATTGGTTTCTGGGCTCCAATTTTGAACCTGAAATTTAGAAATCAAATATGGTTTTTTGACATGGATCAGACCACAAGCGTTTTAAAATGGTGTTGGAATAGACTACTGAAGATTACCTCAGTGGAAGAATCATGAACTTGGGGCTGGAACGCTTGTGGGGAGAGTAATTATCTGGGAATTGCTGTTCAAACAGTTCTGGGTTATTATCCCAGAAATAAAAAGGAGAGAAGTGGTCCATCGAGACAGTGTATTAAAAAGTACATATAATAGTTTATTGTCCTCCTGTCTTCCAGTTTTGCTGTTAATTCATGTCACAGCATTTTGGGTCCTGGTTAATGCACTGCATGGAAAAATGGAAGCATACCTTTTATTACATACTGGTCCTTTCACAAATGGAACCTTAAAACCATATGCAAAATAAGTTTGTAAACATCTTACATCTACTTTTTACTAAAATCATATTTTATAGTCATTTTACCTTTTACTGATTGAAATAAAAATAATTAAATGACTTTAATCCCAGCACTTGGGAGGCAGAGGCAAGCTGATTTCTGTGAAATCAAGACAGTCTGAACTATATGGTGAGTTTTAGGTCATCTGGGGCTACAGGGAGACCCTATCTCAAATAGACCAAAAAAGAAAAAAAGGTAAAAATAAATAGAAAAACACAACAAAAACTTTTATTAGAAATGCAACTTCAAACTCAGGAGATCTGTAAAAATAAATCTTTGTTCATTTGTGTGTGTGTGTGTGTGTGTGTGTGTGTGTGTGTGTGTGTTGTGTGTGTGTGTGTGTGTAGTTGGTTCTTTCCTTCTATCATGTGCATCCCAGAGATGGAACTCCGGTGGGCAGGCTTGACAACAAGCACCTTTACTTGATAAGTAACTTTTATGTGATCCTTTGAAAAAATTTACAATTTAATGATCACAAAGGCTAAAAATAATGCAGATTTAACTCTAGAATGTCAGAGATGGAAGTTCGTGAAGTTACTTTTGGATAAAAAGTTTTGCACAGACATCCTCATGTTTCCTTCTATCATGTGCATCCCAGAGATGGAACTCCGGTGGGCAGGCTTGACAACAAGCACCTTTACTTGATAAGTAACTTTTATGTGATCCTTTGAAAAAATTTACAATTTAATGATCACAAAGGCTAAAAATAATGCAGATTTAACTCTAGAATGTCAGAGATGGAAGTTCGTGAAGTTACTTTTGGATAAAAAGTTTTGCACAGACATCCTCATGTTGGTGAAATCAATTCTTTTACCAAGAAATATGCTTGGTAAGAATGAGAAGAAAGCTTTTACCTTCGTGGGGTAGGATCATACCCTGAGGAACCCAGCCTGAAATCTTAAAAATTCATGTAAAATGTCCAGTCTCCTTCATAATCAATCTTGTTTCAATATAAAAATAAAGTGGCTCCCCTAACACTCCTCAAATCTTTGAGTAATATTTACACTGAAGCAAGACACCCTGTGTTTATCCTGTGGCTTCACCTCCCTGGCCTGCTGCCATCGCCTGCAGCAGTGTGCATACCCCAGTTTGAAAGCTCTATCCTGTCGGGCGTGTGGGTTTGGATCAGAAGAAAGAGCCCTGTGCACCAAGTCAGGGCATGTGGTGTTTAGCCTCAGCTCTGACATTAACTAGTTGTTGACCAATTTCAAGTCACTAAATGTCACCTGGCCTCACATTCCTTCAATAAAATGAAGAAGTTGGAAGTTCAGTTAAATTTTTTATTAATTAGTTACATTAACCCTATAAAGACTGGATATAGTGTTTTCAGTGTAAAATTATTGTGGAGATATTGACTTTTAAAAATGTTGATACTAAAGGAATAGTTTGGCAGGAAAAATGTGAGAGAAAACTTAAGTTCATGATGACTATTGTTAAAATTAAAACTATATGGCTTAAAAATTGTTTTCTTGAATAATTCCACTGATCAACCTACATGTTCTTTTCTGAGTGAAAAACATTGATTAGATATAAATGATCAATGATCCCACTCTCTGCTGTGCTTAACAAGAATATAATGAATAACATGAATCACAATCAGTATTTTTTTGTGTTTTGCTTTTTGAAACAGGGTCTCCCTGTAGCCCCAGCTGGGCTGGAACTCACTATGTAGACCAGATTGGCCTCAGTCTCATAGAGATTTGCCTACCTCTGCCTCCTGAGTGCTGGGATTAAAGGCATGTGCCACCACACCTGGCCCTAGTACTATTTATTTATTTATTTATTTATTTATTTTTATTTATTTATTTATTTTTATTTTATGTATATGAATGTTTTGCTTACATGTATGTAAGTGTACCTGTGCCATCCAATGCCCGCAGAACTCAAAGAGGGCATCAGATCCCATGGAACTGGAGTTACAGACAATTGTTTGCTGCTATGTGGGTGCTGGGAACCAAACCCAGGTCCTCTGCAAGAGCAGTTAGAGCTCTTAACCACTGAGCTATCTCTCCAGCCCCCAGTACATATTTTTATGTTTTATGCACAAAGATATATCTGTTTATGATGTCACCTGAGTATGATGTAACCTGATTTGATGTTACCTGGTTATGATGTCATCTCACTATGGTATCACCTGTTTGTGATGTCACCTGTGTGATTATCACTTGAGGCTCTCTGATCATGTTTACATTTTTTGAGATATGAAGGTGATAGTGAATTCTGAGCTGATAGGGGAAATATCAGTTTTCCCCAAGCCCCAGCCCAGACTTTGCCATCAGGGGTCTGGAGGAACACCGTCCACATGTTGCCCTCTTTAGGTTCACTCAGCAAAGCAGCCATTCCCTTTGCTTCGTTTCTCCCTCCTTCCCTCCCTCCCTCCCCCTCTCCCTCCTTTCCTTCCTTTCTTTCTTTCTTTCTTTCTTTCTTTCTTTCTTTCTTTCTTTCTTTCTTCCGTGTGTTCACATATGATTCTTCAAAGGGCTGTCTCTATAGGAACAGGAAGTGATTCTGGTTTGAAACAGTTGTATTGTCTGAAAGAGCTAAAAAAAAATAAACCATTCAGCTTAACCAAATTAAAAAAAAATTTCAACTGCAAACTTGTGCCTAATTCAGAGTGACTTCACATATCCTGAGAACGGTGAGCTTGTGTCTAGGCTTCCTCAATTCTAAGCATCTACTTATGACCACCATTTGGGTCTAGGGGAGCACAGATACATCATTTCAGATTCCTAAGCAAGAGTGAAAATATGAGCAAGGACTCCAGGTAGGCACATCCACGTGTGCCTTGAATGGAGGCAGGACCAAAGTGAGGTCTACTGAGTAAGGAAGCCAAGCATGGAAGGGCTCTTCCTTGAATTAGAGATTGTATGAGGTGGAAAATCATGCAGTTTATCAAAATTAGCTTCAATTGTGTGATTTAAATTTATGAAGTCAATGAAACTATCCTTCCATGATAGGTCCAGTGCAGAAGGGGTACAGAAAATCCTCAAGGAGGAATGGCATAATACGAAGGAAAATACACAACATTTTATTAGAATCTCAAGTGTGGAGTTCTAGGAGCCTTTCTGCTGAAGGAATAGAGAAGCCCTGAGTTCTTGTCACACTGTGCATTTATTGTCTTAGCTTACATAAATAGAACAAAGGCCACTACTCAGCGCAGACTGTCTTGTGAAAGCTTCCTGAAGAGCTCTTGGTATGCTATTTTAAAACAGAGAACTTGTTGACTAGCTAAGCATAACAGAACTTATGACCTGTGGCTAGAGTGCTCTTTTCTTATGAAGTCTGGGGGCTGGAGCACTGCATTCCTTTATCTGCCTCAACACCCATATCTGTGCAGCTTTATGTCATGTAGACATACTTGACTGCCAGCTCAGATGCCCATGGTCAAACATGTTTTCAGCAACAGTCAGGTAAAGCAGTTGTCCC